AGATAGTTGTGCCTGATGTATACATATATTACAATATACAGGGTGTTTGGCGACTACCGCATTTTTTGTACGTGGGTAGAACAGCCTATACTGAATCAAAAAGTCCTGTACCATTTTGAGGTGTCAGCAATAATTCTACTCCGTGCAGGTGCCATACTGAAGAAACAACACATTTGGTATGGCATATTCAACTAATTCGATTGCTTATAACTTTCATAAAAATGAACATATCATTAAAATTTTTTTTAAATCGGAATATCAGATATTAAGGTTATGGAATATAACGGTACTCAAATAAATGTATATACAGCTTATAGTTCGATATAATGTGACGCTATTATTTTCTGCATTTTATGTGAATTTACTCTTGTATGAAGTAGCGCACTTTCTGCCGCGTGTATCTTTCTATGTGGAGATTTTTCTCACGTAAATATCTGAAAATCGTCAACGTTTGCCATTTTGTTGAAGTGCCGGCGGAATTGAAAGAATTTCTAAGGAAGTGCGGACAAATCAGCGTACATAATTCATGAGTGTGTGCGTTGGATAAATTCCTACTTCGACGTACTATCTCGTGCTTCTTGTTTCTATAGTAATAGAAGTAGAAGAAGTTAAGAAGCTGGGCGAGATGGCTAGGAGTCATCGAGAGTAGTGGATCGTTTTTGTCGGAATCCTCAGTCAGGATTCTTCGTGAAAAAAAACGTGTAATGGCACAAGTATATCGCATTCGAACCTCCCTCGATCATTGGGGACTATGTAATTTTTTGCAAATTTTTCTTTTTTTATATTCACGCAACACCTTCATTTAATTTTTCGAAAGTACATACTTAAAAAAATTATTAACGATGCTATATTTAATTACTATTATTATCATGATTATTATTCTAATATATATAATAATTAATATATATATATATATATATATATATATATACACAGAGATATAAAAAATATTTATTTTCTAAATTACAATTATATTAAATACTAATAATATCAAAGTAATTGATTACGTATATTTATATTCAAAATAAGGAAATAAATCAAGGGCTTAAATAATTAAAATTAAAACAAATAAATAATAAAAGGGCTACAAGCCTAGCTAGATGTGCGTTGCTAACAATTCAATTTAATGTTTAAAAATTAATAATAAATTCTATCTTCAGTATTCGCGTGATCAACTGTACAGCACAAACATAATTGATGCAGCACATAGCACTGCTCGTTTAATTCTGTTGTTAGACGTATAAGCCATTGTTTCCGTATTTTCGGCAAAAAATGTAATGACTATTCTAAGAAAGCAATTATTTGCATGATGAAATAACCTAACCTCTATGAATATATTTTGCCATTTTCAAATAAACAATTTGTTTCATTGTTTATATTCATTGTAACCAAATAATATATTATTTAATTGAAAGATATTACTTCAAATAATAATGTTATTTCTGTCAAGCAATAGAGATTCCTCAAATGAAACAACAAAATTTTTATTCAAACAAATAATATTTCGTACAAGCATATGTTGTTTCAATAAAACAAATCTTAGTCAAATAAATAGGAATACTAAATCCAAAGAAATCTTTTTCTCCGTGTGTATATATATAATAATTATTATAGTATTAAAATCGTCAGTAATATTTTTAAAATATGACAATAACGGCGATGTCAGGTTTGCGATCTGTTCCATTAAATAGTATGCTGTCAATTTGTTGGAAATAGACAAGGTGATTTTTACAAGGTAAAAAATCGCAGTTTCTGAAGAACAATTTAATAATACAGACGTCAATACGATAAAAAGCAGACTTGTATACGTGAAACATGCACAAATTCGAACGAGTCGCGTGTTTGCTTTCGAATACATTTTGTATCAAGTTTGATATTCGCGAAAATATTTCAACGTGACTCTCAGTGACGTTAACAGCTCCAAACACGTAGCCGTCAACACTTTTCGAACGCAGATGCATTCGATTCGTGCGAAAATTGTATCGAAGCAAGAGCCCATACCACTGACGACCATCGGTCCGCGAACGATTGGCGATAAAACCGCGAATTCTCTATGCACGCGAATAGATGGATATATCATATGAAAATGTGAATATAATGACGATGTTGCGGGCGTGAATTAACAGCCCGCGTCTCATCGATGTCTTCGTTTCGCGTGCACGGCCGCATGTTTTATACACGCATCGCGTGCGATATGTTGCAATTCGATTCTGCGAGACGTGGAATTATCTCTCTTTTTCTTCCGTATACGCAAATTTGTAAAAAATGACTTAAGTGACCGCGGCGGGATTTCTTGATTTTTATGATTCACGCACGGAAGATTATAATTGTGGTTTATAACGTTGAAAATTCTAGAGTAAAGTAGACTCATGATATTTGTGAATTTAATTTATTTAATTATTAATCTGCGCTCATGTTTACTTAAATTGATTTAATTATTAATTTGCTCTAAACTTTTTTCTTTCAATAATACTGGGATATTGTTTGAAATATGTCGTATTAAGATCTAACGTAATCGTTATTGACATTTCGAAATATTTAAGGTTTTTTTTTTTAAAGGCACATGCCATAAACAACAATAAATGTCATTAAATCACATGTCGTTACTAAATTAAATAACGAGGAAGCCTTATCAGTTCAATGGTTAAATAATATTTCGGTGTGAATTTATGTATACATATTCAGTTCTGTAAACTGCGCTCTGAAAAACTGAATATGTATATAAATTCACACCGAAATAATATTTAAGTAATTATAATCCAGCTCAGACCGAGACTTTCTCGTTATTTAGTTATTTTTTTTTTGCTTTTGTACTCATAAACATTTTGCATGTATAAAATATAATGTGACATACGTCGATAAGCAAGTCTTATTTTTTAACGTAATAGAAAATGTATGTATTAATGAATAGTTGATTGCCTAATATCGATCGAAGCTTATATCTCTTTGGCATTGAAAACACATTTCCTTGCCCGATTATGACTTTGACTGAATCGTATTTAATTCAACGATACAAAAAGGCACTGTTCGCCGTCGTCAATATTCTTCGCAAACGGATCGTTTTTTTATGCAAAAATATTTCCATCGAGTGTACTTCGTCATCAAGCGTGTGCGAAGGTGAACATAAACCGTCAGTTATTTGCGTTACGAACGCGACACCATCGAGTGTTGTAAACGCGCGCACAGGTGTATCAAAGCACCGAAGAAATGCATTCGTAATCGAGAAGGAGAAAATAGGCGTGAAACAGCTGCTTAACGTCAATAACTATCTGCTAAATAAACGTACGCTAATTGATGCGTCCGTATTTTGTAAGAGCATTATTCCCGGCAGACGGAGGCAGTCGCGCTCTGATTTTGCAGATGCGAAAATTCGCCGTTGAGTAACGAGACCGATGAGAAAGTCCTGCTCGAGCGTTTCATTTCGTGTGCTCCAGTTTGCGTACACCCCGTATATCCTGCACACGTAAGATCCATCGCGAGCGAACGGCGGCGGTGCTGCAAGCAACGGGTCTTCTTCCTCGTAAACACTCGAAGCCGGAACTCGCAATAACAGCCGCATACCACGCATACCGTGTTCAGCAAAAATTACCGAAGGCTAGCGTGCTTTTTTTTTCTTTCTTTTTTTTGTTTCCTGTACGAATCCGCGCGTGCGTACGAGTCGTCCTCATAGACGTGACTTTCTCGGCGTTTGCATGGCGGTATCTGTTCCGTAGTTACCGCGCCGAGAGAAGCGAGCGACAATTTCAGAATATATCTATACATGCACCTTGCAACGAAGTTACATCGACGGAATAATGTCCGATGCGTGTATACGCGAGTAATCAACGCAAGTCGGCGTTATCAGACCACTACGGTTCCGACGATGTCTAAAGTAGTGCTCGGAAACATCAAACGATTTGACAGTTCGGACAGTTCGAATTTCAAGTTCGAACGTTAAATAGTTCGGACTGAATGTATGTTCGAACTATTTTAACCCACTTCGGAGTTGAAAGTTCGAATTTATTACATTTCGAACTCAGACATAACAAGTTGTCCTCAGGATCATGAGTATGACTGAATACGACGCGACTTTTTCTTTTTGACATTTTTGTATATTCAAGTCTCGTAAAAAACTGCTCTTTTGTTTCCAAGGCATACTATACTTGTTTACTGTCCGAACCGTCCGAACTTCAGACATAACGAATTGACATTTCATACTGATCACTGCTTAAGCTCGAACTGTCCGAAATATTCGAATTAGGCGCTCATTTTTTTCAACTTCAAACTATTAGAACAGATCAAATATTCAACATGTACGAATCTTTCGTCTGAGCCTTAGTCTAAAGACGTGTCGCGTTTCCGTCTCGGGCGATCTCGAGGAAGCAATTATTTGCAATTAGCTTTACCGGTCGGGAGGGAAAGTTCCGGGATACGTTCAAAATTTCGCACTTTCTCCGCGATGTTGCGCGAATACCTCCGTGTGTACGCATGGAACGCCTTTGGGAATCCGATTCCAAACTATCAATACGTACGGTTGCAAGGTTTCGTAGGCGGATCGCGTTTATAAAAAAACTTTCTGATGGAAGATATCACACGGGGATAAAGCAATGCCATGAGCATTCATCGGCGTTTGATACGGAGCACAAGCGTGTATAAATTTTGTGCAGCGTTCTTAGGGTTTCTCACGTTAGAGGATTTCTCCATTGAAAACTAAGCGAAATCTCTTCTATAGAAAGTAATTTGTTCCTTACTACTGTTAAATTTTATTTAACAAATCAACATGGACTGAATGAGAAATACAAGAGAATATACGTATATGTTTGATTACCTAGATCTATTTTTACGTGTACTTTGCAACCTTCTTATTACATCGTAACATCAATTTTTTCGAAGTTTCAAAAAACATGCGCAATCTATAAACTCGCTTTTCGAATTCAAGTATTGTGTGAGAACGTATGAAAATGTAACTGAAGGTTGGAAGAATCCGAACCAAGTTTAATATATATATTTTTTTGTTACAGGGTACTATGAGCCTAACCAAACGTATAGACGAAATCAGGTTGCTCGAATCACGTAAGAGTGCACGACTCGCCGATCAAGACACGGATTTCGCCAGACTCGCCGATATGGCTGGGGGGATTTCCTCTTCTTTCCCTATTACTGTCGCTTATCTGGAATGCTTTTATGTTCGGGGCAGCAGATAAGGTCGAAAATAACTACCGTCGATTGACAATAAACTTGTGCCCAGACGAGTGGAATCGTCCTTTTAAACGTCGTTTAAAAGCAAAATACAGTTTTGCGGAGCGGCGCGACTCTTACTCTTGACTTGATTATGCAAATTTCACGCACCTTCCTCGTGCGAAAGTTATTCAAGCGTTTCGCATTATGTTTTAAATTCTTAATTTTGGCATTGTACAATATTTGTAATATTTAGCATATATATCTCGAGAGATATTGCCTCGAAGTTATATCGCGAATTTCTTGAAAAGGAATCGGAAAAATTATTTATATGTTCGATTCAATTATTAACCGAGAACATGTCCTTTGTTCTATTTAAATAATATTTTTCATTTTCTTGTGTAATAATGTAGGACATAAATTTCCTGGATCGACTTGGTGCCCTTATCCCAGTCCCACCCAACTCCCACAAATGTGATCTTCATAAATTCATCCTACAGCAACATTCGTAATACGTTCTTTAAGATTTCTCTCTTCTTTTTTCTATTGAAGATTCAAAACGACGTGAGTATGATTTTCGTTCAATTCGTATATTCAATTTCGCGTTACAGTTTAGTTTATTGTTGACTAATTGTTTAAAGTGACACAAAAATAATTGATAAAATAATATAGGATAAAAAGGAAATAGAAATTTAATCAAAGATATTGCATATGTGTGTGCTATCCTTCTCTTCAACAGAACTGTAATATAGACAAATTATTCGCCCGGCAGCTTGTACGCCTTTTGCTACCAGACGCCTTATATGTCAAAGGTTCTAACAATCCGACATATACCGAAGGTCATTGCCAGATGCGACGCGTTGACAAGACCTTTGGTATGTGTGCGAGGTTATTAGAATATCCTTTCTCCATGTCAGGCTTCTTTCTCTCGTCACGTAATAATGACAGGTACAGGTCGACAGGTCTGTACATATTTTCCTCACGTAAATTATATATATATATATATATATATATAGCCATGTGTCCTGAAGATCGGACGTATTCGATGCTAAAGATAAAAAGCTGAGCATCCGCGTGATGCATAAAGCAAGGAACGAAGGAACGTCCGTTTGCAGATCGTTAGACCGTGAATGCACCCTCGCCGAGCACCTGTCTCACCTTTATACTGCACGCAACTCCCCAGAACGCTTTATGCCTCACCCCCGTTGAATGTCAGTGAATATTCGCTGTAGGGATGCCGCACCGCGGTGAGGAATAGCCGATGGATATTTTAGTAAAAAAAATGTGCAACAATGCCTTCGTGATTGCAATTTCCTGTTTGAAAGTCCTACTCCAATCGTACAATTCTTTGTGCTATATCAGTTAAGTACTATGAATATATATAGGGTGAGTCATGAGTATGTTTTAAAATTTTGTAAGCGTGTTCCTGGATAAAAAGGAAAAAAATAATACTTTTATGAATATTGATACTTTATCATAATGGATGTAAATAGATTTGAAATAATGACTATCAGTTCAATTTTTTTTGACGATTTTATTATTTTGACAACGATTGCGGCCTAATGTTCAGGAACATTTATTCTTTCTTTTTTCTCAGGAACACATTCAAGAAATTTTAAAACATACTTATATATGACTCACTCTGTACATACACATTATACACATACGTAATATATGTACATACACGTCATAATTCTCTACAATGGTAATCTGATTATTTCGAAATACTTGAATCAATACGGCATAAAGGATTGTAAGATTAGAATAATACTTCTAAAAATATAAAACATGTGCGTATAAAACAAATTTAATTCATTCATAATTTACTACATCGTCATTTCATTATGCATGAATGAACAGATGAGAAACGATATTCTATGCTGATAATATTGCACATTTTACATCGTTGCCTGAATTGTTTTTACATTTAAATAAAATTCATTCAAACCTCTATCTCGGATGAAATTGCCGTCGTGAGATCCGCTTAAGATTACGCGATTGAAAAACAATGAAGTTTCTCGTTCCGCCTACTCCTATATGTAGCTGTCTGGAGTCTGCGACCTGCGCGATCCCCATAATTTGAGACGAAATTTTCTCGCTATCTCCCTTCCTCTTTGTCGTCATTTCTCTGGAAAAAGATAGACTGGTCTTAGCCTGGCAGGGCGACGAACTCGAAGGTTAATGGCCCCCTCGACTTTTCGTTTAGTATGAGCAAAGTCGGTCCTTGACCCGAGGATCCTCTTGCAAAGGAGGAGATTCGTCCGGTGGCCGCATCGAGATGTAGTTGTCGGCAGGTAGAAAAATGCCGGTGCGTTTTTGGTAGAGCGTGCACACACCTGGCCCTGGCACGACCTGCCCCACGTGAAAGGAAAGGTCGTCGAAGAGAAATCGAATGCCTTTCGAAGCGCGCGATGATATCGGCGACGAAAGCGTGCGCGAATCCGCGCTACCGTTTAACAAGACCTTGCGTCGTGTCCAAGGTTTCGGCACGACGTTAGAATTAATCCAGTGATTATACGCGAAAGTTAGACAAATATATGTAATGTTAATGAAGCGATCTTTCTGTCTCATTCGCGTTGATATTCAAATTATGTCTGAATATTTGCAGAAAAGTGCAATGGCACTTCGAGTTTCGATTTATTTGAGTATTTTTCGCAAAAGTAAAATATATATATGAAATACTGAAATCTATTTTTAATGCAAATGTTATATCGCAACGCGTTTTACATAATGAAGCTGATTCTTTGCGAAATTTGCTCGATTCCAAATGATGGTCTAGCTATAGAAAACTCGGTTCACGTAAGTAACTTTGCGCCAAGGTATTTCTCCGTTACGTTGTCGAGGCACCGTTTATTCTTTCTACCTTTCACACGCAACCGTGCACGCCACATGGTGCAACGTGAGTACTTGCGCGTGCGGGTTTGCGATAATTGATGCCGGCAAATTGAGCAACGTAGCAGCACTCTTTCCCCCATGACGTAATTCCGTGCACTCTCCGCGAAACGATAATCAACGTGCCGGGCAATTTTTATGCTTTTTCGGCTCTCGCTTGCGATTACTTTGCTTCGAGCCAATTTATACAGTCCATAACGAGAACATAATCAGGTTTGACGACGAACGAAAAAAAAATAGCTGGTTCCATGATAATCGCGACGTTCGTATGGATGCTTCGCTGACTCGTGTACACATTTCTCTCGCGAGATACATTTTTAGTCAGTTTGCACACGTTACTTATTTGCTTTCGTGCATCGATAAAGAGCAAAATGCGAAGAAGCATAGGAATAGGAGATGGGGATCCATGATCGGCGCGCGGCGTGCCGCGGAGAAACACGAAAACGGAGAGAAGGACGATAGCCGCGAACGACGCGAATAGATACGGGGATAATTCAAAATCTAACTTCACCGAATGAATATACAACTCCCATCTCCGGCCGTGCCACGCCAACGGCCAACGGGCGCAGTGAGTCAGTAGGTTAGCTTACGTAATTTTCGGACGGCAGTTCTCCGCGCACCGACGAGGAGGCAGCCCCGACTTGCGGTGTCAGGAATTAGGTCGATCAATACTTACGCGGCCGCGCTATATAGGTCAGGTGCACTACCACGCTCCGTGTATGCGACGAGGAGCGTGGTAGCTGTCCCCCTTCCCGGCACCTAGCAACCCCCGCGTACCACCCATCCCGGTCACGAGCCACCCACCGCCGGGACAAAACCTACCACTCCCGCTTTCAACTCAAAACTCGGCCATTCCCTACTTTCGTTCTCTCGCGTCCCGCTCCACATATCCGCCTGCGATGCGTTAATACGTTAATTGACTCCAATCAGCTTGGTCCAGCTGATTCCAGCTGATTCTTGCGAGAGATCGAATTGGGTGGTCGTTATCTCGGTCGTTAATGCCGCGGAATTCGCCTGGAATGTATGAAACTGTGCGTCCTCTCTTCGTGCCGGCCATCATGATCGGGGAACGCGGAAGTGAAGGAAGAAATCGAATAAACGAGGGCATTTCGTCGAATGATTATCGTCATAATGTCGAATAATAACGAATACTTTCTACAAATAGACGTTTATGTACAAATCTTTACATTGAAAAAAAGTATTTATGACTATAATTATATAAGGTAAAAATAATTATAGTTGGAACCTTCACTTTTATTGCCGCTATAAGGTTAGTAATAATAGTTATATTTATAATTGTTCCAAAAAATATAATCGACACCGAATATTATTATAAATTATAGTTAAATTATTGATAATTACAAACTATTTTGTTCTCTCGGTGCAACTTTCTTGTGTATATCAGGTATTAGGATAATAACATCATTCTTAAATTACATTTTGGACTAACAACAAAACGCGATATTAATGACAAAATACTAAACGAATATTGATAGAACTTCATCAAACATACCATTGATCGAATGCACATGACTATCTGAAGGAGAAACGAGAAATGCATGAGTCATGTATGGCTTCTTAGGTTGTATACTCTGTGCTAAGTCGCGTTAAGCTATTTGCGCCATGACCCACAATAATCATCAAGGTGTCGAGACGCGGACAGAGGAAGCATTTTTCAAAGCAAGGATAGTTTCACGCTGGACGCCATGGATCCGTGCGAGCTGGACACACGTACGACGTTGAATCGCTTGCGCAACAGCTCTGCCCAAAACGTAAAATTCCTGTTTCCCATATTGAGAACCTGACCTAGACCAACGGCGTTCATCGCGGTCAACCGAACCTCGTACAGAGACCGAAGACGCAAACATTAGAGGATTGTCTGTAACTGTTCGCAACCTAGACACACACTTGCCAAGGTCCCGCGCGACAAAATACGCAGGCACCATCGCGCGCGCGATCTTGACCTACACAGCGCGCGACATGCAGATGTCATTTTGATCGTGTAGCGGCTTCGTGCGAAGCGAGAGAACAATGCAGATTATACGAGAATTATATAATCGGTGAATTATATCATCGGCATTCTCCCTCTTTGTCA